AAATCCATATTATATGTCGGTATCCAGCTGAGTCCACATTGCTGCACCAACAAGTTGGCAGACAATCTGGATAGATTTTATGTAGTCTATGAGGTGTATAGTGGAACTTATGATGAATTTTGAACTGAATCAGCCGGTCCTGGGAGGAGACCAGCTGAGTGAAGGGATATTCCCAAACCTCCTCGCAATCCTCATTGTCCAGCACCGGCAGCTCCGCTACCCTAAATGGCCTTATGATGTACCATAGGCTGGAGGGCCTTGTATATATTCAATAAAGATTTCACCAGGAAAATATCCCTGAGAAGAGATTTTATGTCAAAATGGCATAAAGTCAAGGGAGTGGTTCCAAATTGGGCAGCATAAGCATAGCGGAGCTGGAGGAAATGGAAGAAGTAGCAGTTGGTCAGTGCAGACCTACTCTTAAGGTTATCAAACGTCCGTAATATGCCACTCTCACAGATATGGGCAAATTATTAATCGGTATGTATAGCCTGTTGCCCTCATACAGAGCTTATACATTGTGACCCTATATCTGGCATGCTAGCTGGGGAGATATTGCTTCAATACAAGCCTGCCAGTAAAATGTAGCAAGGTCTCATCTATGAACATGTTTTGTTGGGGAGTATACAAATCTACAAACCTTTGAGAAATGTAATTTATGAGGGGCTGAATTTTGTGGAGCTGATCATAGTCAGGGTCACCCCGAGGACGAGGGTATTGTCCTTGAAATGCATGAAACGCATTATATTCTCATATCTATGCCTGGCTATTGCAGCAAAGAACATGGGTATATGATGAACCTGGTCTGTGGACCAATATGACCGTGATTCTATTTTTTTTGTAAATCCCATGTTAAGGGTTATGCCCAAAAAATTCTTAAATTCAGAAACCTGGATAGGTTTCCACTCAAATGGCCTGGCAAGGCTTGAATTTGGGTTAGTGGCGATGTATTGGTGCCAGTGTTGCCAACCCATCTCACCCCCCGAAGTGAAATTTTCTGACAGAACACCCAAATTTTACAAGCAGCTCCAATTTTTTCACTGACAAAAATCACGACGTCTGACAGAGCCACATTTTTTACTGACGCTTCAAAAAGGTACATAAAATGGCTGTTTTAAGTGCAAAACAGTGAAAATATCAATATTTAAGCGACAAACATGTAGCTAGTGCTATTAGCAATGTGTTTTAAAGTACAAAATCACATTTCTTCATTTACATGAAGGTAAGGTTACTACAACCCAGCCAGCACAGAGTTCCCCCTTACATCACAGTCTTCAGGATTCCCCCTTAAGTGGAACTCCTATGTAAAGTGGAACTCTGGTTTGGTGTAAAGGGAAATTCTGATATCAGGTAGTCTATGGTCACCAGAACCCCCCCTTACATCAGAGTTCACAGCATTCCCCTTTACATCACAGTTCCCACTTACATCAGGGTCTACAGCATTGCCCTTTATGTCAAGGTCCACAGAGTTCCCCCTTGCACTGTAATTGGGTATCCTGAAGACTCTGATGTAAAGGGGAACTCTGAGGGTACTGATTTAAGGGGGAACACTGGGAACTCTGATGTGAGGGGGACTCTGATGATCACAAACCATTTTCCGGAAAATGAATACACTAAGGTAAGGTGGATTACTAAAATAAGGGGGAATCTTTATATCAGTGCCCCCCTTACCTTACTGTTTTTACTACCCCTTACATCAGTGACCACCCCCTCAGACTGGCCTTGCTGCGTTGTCACTGACCTCCCCTCAGGTGCACCGTGTATGGCTCAGTCAGACGGTCCTCTCCAGGTTCCAGCTTGGCGGGTCTGATTTCATCCTATTTTATCCTCTCTACGCCTGACTCCTCCCGTGACCCGCATCCCGGCGGTGCTCCCACTCTTGACTCCTCTCCAGGCTCCCCCTCAGAGACTGCAGACATGATACAAGACAAATGTGGTCACAGCTTGCAGACATGATACGAGAGATAGTCAAGAGACTGTGTGCATGATACAAGAGATGGTCAGAGACTGCCCAGACATAATGCAAGAGATGGTCAGAGACTGCAGCCATTCTGCAGGAAAATGGTGTCCAGGATTTTATAATTGCTCTGATTAATGCCTGTTTAATCCCTTTGCAAGTATTATGGCAATTACCTCAATGTAATTTACCTACTATCCATGTGTACATTATTATTTACCTCTATATGTCTTTTTAGAAATTCCTCTTGTATCCATGCCCCTGAAGAAGATTAAAAAAAATAGAATGATAGAAGCGCGCCGGGGTAGTCTCCCTTTCTTTGGGAGTTTATTTCATGTTGTGAAGAAAGTACCTTGTAGTATTGTCAGAGTCAATTTTCCCTAAAAAATATTTTTTTTTTAAGTATGTTTATGGAATAAAGCATGCATCTTTTTAAAAGAAGTTTTTATGAATATAACTATGTTTTTTAAAATCCCATATAGAGGGCCCGTCATGTATATATACGAGCAGCTGATACTCAGTCTTTTTGGTTAAGAGATACTGCAGAGGATACGGCAGTGTACAAATGTAGTGAATACCAAAACATTGTGAGCTGCTATTTGCAAAATTAAAATATCAAAAACCTCAGTGAATCGCCCACAGTGATCACACGCTCATATCCAGTATGTTGTGCAACCAAAATTATTTCACATAATGCCGTGCTACACTCTTCTTATCCAATATTACATGAAAATATATACATACAGAAAAAAAACAATTAATCTAAACTTAAATGATAAATTATATGCAATAATGTCCACTTTCAAACTTCTTTGTGCAAGAAAACCAATTTCCACTTCAAATTGCACTTCTAAATGCCAACACCTCTTTGTGCCAAATGTAATCACTTATTTGTGAGTTCCCGCCCCCAGATGTGCTCTCACCTGTAAAAAATTACCGAACCGTTACATTAGGTCATATAGCGCTTGTGTGCCTCATATAGGGTTCAAAGTCATATTACCACAGAGATGGATGTGATTCTTCTTTTTGAACTGCGTGCTTCTCCTATGTTACTTCTCCTACTCACGCAACTTGTAGTTCCATTAAAAAAATACAGCAACTTCATGCATCTCTGCCCTTTTTATTTAATGGCCTGCACTATGCAGTGGCTATAGAGATACAGTATATTGACAAAAGTATGGGATGCCTGCCTTCACACGCACATGAACTTTAATTTACATCTCAGTCTTAGTCTGTAGGGTTCATTATTGAGTTGGCCCACCCTTTGCAGCTATAACAGCTTTAACTCTTCTGGGAAGGCTATGGGAATGTTTGATAATTCTTCCAGAAGCGCATTTGTGAGGTCAGGAACTGATGTCGGACGAGAAGGCCTGGCTCGCAGTCTCCACTCTAATTCATCCCAAAGGTGTAGTATCAGGTTGAGGTCAGGACTCTGAGGCTAGTTCCTCCACTCCAAACTCACTCATCCAGGTCTTCATGGACCTTGCTTTAGTGCACTGGTGCACAGTCATGTTGGAAGAGGAAGGCGCTGTCACCAAACTGTTCCCACAAAGTTTGCAGCATGAAATTGCCCAAAATGTCTTGGTATACTGACACCTTAAGAGTTCCCTTCACTGAAACAAAGGGGCCAAGCCCAACCCCTGAAAAACAACCCCACACCATAATCAACCCTCCACCAACATTTACACTTGGCACAATGCAGTCAGGCAAGTACCCTTCTCCTGGCAAACCCAGACACATCCATACGATTGCCAGAGAAGAATGATTGGTCATTCCAAAGAACATGTCTCCACGGCTCTAGAGTCCAGTGGCGGCGTGCTTTACACCACTGCATCTGACACTTTGCATTGCACTTGGTGATGTAAGGCTTTGATGCAGCTGCTTGGCCATGGAAACCCATTCCATGAAGCTCTCTACGCACGGTTGTTGTGCTAATCTGGATGCCACATGAAGTTTGGAGGTCTTTAGCTATTGACTCTGCAGACAGCTGGGGACTTTTGCGCACTGTGCGCTTCAGCATGAGCTGACCCCGCTCTGTCATTTTACCACTTGGTAGCTGAGTTGCTGTTGTTCCCAGTTACTTCCACTTTGTTATAATACCACTAACAGTTGATCATGGAATGTTTAGTAGCAAGGAAATTTCAGATGGACTTATTGCACGGGTGGCAACCTATCATGGTACCACGCTTGAATTCACTGAACTCCTGAGAGTGATCCATTCTTTCAAAAATGTTTGTAGAAGCAGTCTGCATGCCTAGGTGCTTGATTTTATACACCTGTGGCCATGGAGGTGATTGGAACACCTGAATCCAATGTTTTGGAGGGGTGTCTCAATACTTTTGGCAATATAATGTTTATTGTATAATAGTGTAAAATTTTAGGACATAAGACCCAGCCAGTAAATGCCTAATTGTTATACCTCATGTACACAGGTGGTTTGCCCCACTCTCCTAAACACCTTTCCTCCTGACAGCAGTGTTTTAGCAGAGAAAACGCTTGATGCGTGTAAACGCACCTTAGACGCTTATTCATTTTGTTGGCCAGCAATGAATTAACTCCCAATGGGGTGCCCTACGTACAATCAAAACCATGAAACTTTTGAAAAACTGTTCAGCACCAAAATGCAAGGTACTTCCGACAAAGTACATCTGTGCCATGTGTCTGCACAAGGGTTTTGCACATATTCCCCCTGTGCACAAATGTGAACCTAGCCTTACACCTGGCTCTATCCCTCCCTCTGAAGACCTCCAGTCATAAAGAGATAAACACTCCAGAGAAATGAAGGACACCTCTGCTATGGTGTTTAAAAGCTGCAGAAAATGTATGTCTAATACAACAGGCTGTCAGTGTGGACCTGGCCATACATAGTGTTGTGGTGTGCAGATTGGGGAATGCATTCACAGTGACGGAACCTTTCTGTCTCGGAACGTTTCTCCCTTGCCAAGGCGGCCCGGGGATCGAAACCACCGCTACGGAGCCATGCTAGAAACACTTCCGGCCAACTCATCGCTGTGTTTGTCTGACAGGCACTTCAGTGGCCAACATGGTGTTGTTGACGATGATCGCCCGAGTGGCGGACGGCTTGCCTTTAGCAGCTTCAATGCAGGAGGACGAGCAGGTAGGGAGGGAGCACAGTGTGGGGGTTGTGCCTCTACTTCCATTGACAGACTGGACTTGTGTGGGGTCCAGCTGTGGCTGACATATGTCCGGGTGTGTAGGAGAGGTATGACTGAATGCCCATCATGGCAGATGGCGGGGATGTTTGCAGGTTTTAGTATGGTCAGTACGGTCCTGTACTACTGCCATGAATACTTGGCTGTCACTGGGCTGATGTATGATGGGAAGGACTTCCTGCCCCACCAGTAGTTTTCTGTATTTATTTCAGATACTTATATAGTGCTGTCAATTTATATAGCACATTATATATATCATACATTCACATCAGTCCCTAACCCTCAAGGGGTGTACAATCTAAGGCCCCTAACTCACATTCATACATACACATACTAGGCCAATTAACCTTCCAGCATGTCCTTGGAGTGTGGGAGGAAACCGGAGTACCCGGAGGAAACCGAGTACCCGGAGGAAACCCACGCAGGCACAGGGAGAACATGCAAACTCCAGGCAGGTGGTGCCGTGGTTGGTATTTGAACCAACGACCCTAGTGCTGCCGGGCCTCAGAATTAAAGGGAAATCCGTCCTGTATGACATTTGGTTTCATAAAGCATGGTGCGAGATAAAACGGAATACACGTTTTGTTATTTTAAGAAAATACTTGCTTTCACTTTAAAAAAAAAAAAAAAAAAATCTATTTAGGGTACTTATACAGTGCCGTCAATTTACGCAGAGCTTTACATATATATTATACATTCACATCAGTCCCTGCCCTTAACTACGTGCCAACCGCAGATAGCCAAATGACGGCTACACTGCGGCCGGCTAGTTCTGGGAGGGCATTATATGACGTCCTCCCAGAACGCGCTCTCCTGCGCACCCCTGGCGATCTCTTACAGACACAGCTGATCACGTGATGTGGTAAAAGGCCAATGACACGCTGATCACCGGGAAATGCAATTACTGGTTCTCGGCTGTACTTTCCTCACGCTGTCAGAGCGTGAGGAAAGTACTGCCGAGAATCGGCAGTTGTCAGAGCAGGGATCAGCACCGATTAGTGCCCTGATGATCAGTGCTCAGCAGCTCCACCCACTAGCTCGGCCCAGCAGTGCCGCCCACTAGCTCCACCCACCTGTGCCCAGCAGTGCCACCCACCAGTACCCATCAATGCAGCCCAGCAGTGCTACCACCAGTCAGTGCCCAGCAGTGATGCCAGTCAGTGCCACCTATCAGTTCCGCCTACCCGTGACACCTCATTAGTGCTGCCTATCAGTGCTGCCTATCCGTGACACCTCATTAGTGCTGCCTATCAGTGCTGCCTATCCGTGACACCTCATTAGTGCTGCCTATCAGTGCCCTTCAGTGCTGCCTCATCAACGCACATCAGTGGAGAAAAATTACCTGTTTGAAAAATTTTATAATAGAAACAGACATTTTTTTTTTTCAGATTTTTTGCACACTTTTTGTTTATAGCGCAAAAAGTAAAGCGCCCAGCGGTGATTAAATACCACCAAAAGAAAGCTCTATTTGTGAGAATAAAATGATAAAAATTTTATATGGGTATAATCTTGCATGACCGCACAATTGTCAATCAAAGTACGACAGCGCTGCAAGCTGAAAATTGGCCTGGTAAAGAAGGGGGTATAAATGCCCGGTAGGCAATTGGTTAAGGAGCGTACAATCTAAGGTCCCTAACTCCCATTCATACATACACATACTAGGACCGGTTTAGACAGGAGCCAATTAACCTACCAGCATGTCTTATTCCTTCTGGCATTTCAGTGTTGCTGAACTCCTGCAACCTCTTCCAGCCACTTCCTGTACTCCATGCACACACTGCTGTATTGGCTGCACATCATTGTTCAGGGTTGGCTTCCTAAGGGTGAGAACAGCAATACATGCCTGGGCATTGAACGTCAGCACAGCTGTTCAGGCTACATGACCATGGACCCATGCACTGCAAATTCCTGGTGTGCCGGGTGTCCTAGGATTGCATACAGCCACCCATAGACATAGAGCGGGTGAAGGCGGCTGTATGCTGCTATCTGCATAAAATGGCACACACACAGACATAATGCACCTTAGGTGCTACTTTACTCAACTATTGACACCTAGCTGTAAACAACCAAATTCACCTTCATGTCTTTGAGTGGCTGTACACAGCACTAGGATATCCAGCACACCAGAAATACATGGTGTCTTTACACTGCATGGACAAATCATGTACATGTAGCCTTAATGTGTGCGTCAGAAGCTTATGTGACAGGGTAGCAATGCAGGAATGGAAGACAGGTTCTCACCCTATTACAGGAAGTGCCTTCATGGCAGGATTACCAGGTGTTAGTTTAACCACTTGCCAACCACGTTATAGCCGCAAGACCTCTACAGCACGGTCATCTACTCTGAGAGGATGTTCATGGATGTCCTCCCAGAACCACGCCCCCAGGACGCACATCAGGCACGCTCTGTGACTGCTGTGTCCTTTGGACACAGCTGGTCACAGATCCGGGTAAAGGGCTAATCACAGCAGCCCTTTACCATTCGATAGCTGTGTCCAATCACATGTAAACAAACTTACTGGTTGTCAGCAGTCCTTTCTGCTGTGTGAGGAAAAGAGAGCCAATAACTGGCAAGGGTTGTCAGTACATGGTTTACACTGATTATCCTTGCGATCAGTGCAGCCTCATGAGTGCACATCAATGAAGAAGAAAAATTAATTATTTGCAAAATTGTAAACAGAAACTAAAAACTTTTTTTTCACAATTTTCAGACTTTTTTCATTGTAAAACTGCAGAGTTATGTTACATTGACACCAGGATCTCTGGGGCAGCTTTGGGCGGCTATTCCAGCACAGGGCCACTTCACCCCCACCGCTGGACAATGCAAATTGCCTTGTCTCTGGTGTGGCTGGTTCACATCACTACCTGCTGGCGGTGTGCAAAGAAAAAGTACTGTATGCAGTTCTTTTTTCAAGTACAGCGCAATCACCACATGCCAGCCGATATAACTTTGACATGTCATTGTGTGACATTTTAATAAAGTTTGTTTAAAAAAAAAAAAGCCTGGGTTCACACTGATGCGTGCGGAATTCACAGCGTTTTCTATGCAAATTCCGCACTGCATCACAATCGCACCTTGTTCATGCGAACCGCTGTGGGTGTGTATGTTAAGTTAACAACACTCCGAAATTGGTCTGCAAAACGTGGTGCGATGTGCAGAATCGGATTGCATGGGTGTACATACCCATGTGATCCAATTCTAGTGCGGAGCAAAAAAAGTATCCTGCACCTTTTCGGTGCGGATGCGGTGCGATTGGAGCCATATAAAATGTATGGCTCCAATCGCACTGCACACAATTCGCATGTGATTTGCAAAGGAATGCAGTGTGGTTCCTATGCGAATCACATGCAATATACCACACCACATAAGTGTGAACCCAGCCTTAAGCCTTGTAGAAACTTGTTTTGCCTACTTAAGAGCAATCCACAGTGGATTACTCTTCAGAGGGCATTTGACAGTTGCAAAGAGTTGTTCTATCTCCTCACTGCATGTTTCAACCCTTTAAACCCTGCAACGACTTGCCACAACTTCGTTCATTGTATCAGCTGAAGAGGTCATTTTCAACAATGCAGTTAGTTCCAGTTCCTTCACTGTCCAGTCAGAAGGCCATGTTTTTGGTCAAGCTCTGCTTATGGTTCAGTGGAAGTTGGTAAGCTTGTTGTACTGTCTGGTAGAAGTGCCTGGATCAAAAACTGGCATTTAATCATAGTCTTACTTGTTTTTTACAGTCTGGAAGAGATTTGCAGCAGTATCAGAACCAAGCAAAGCAGCTTTTTCGAAAACTTAATGAACAGTCACCGGCACGATGCACTTTAGAGGCAGGAGCCATGACATTCCAGTAAGTACATGAAAGAGATTCTTTCATGAGTTAAAACTGCAACATGATAACATATTGAGGGAAGGAGCTATTCCCTGAATCACTGCATGCTAATTCAGTTCATTGTTTGAGATCTGCCTAGATCATCAACATGGTACATAAGGTGAGCAGTGACTATCAGACAGAACCTTCTTACACAATGTTTTACTTCTCAGTAGGTCCCTTTTATGAAGTCCCAAAGACTTCCATTACTTTTGCTTGAAAATGCAGAGGCATTTGTATTCATTATCAATATACTGCTGTACTTATTCTAATGATTGGTTTACTTAAATAATTTAGAAGCAGAGCTTTTGCACATTTAGGGTTCAGTTGGCTTTGGAGCAACTGAATGTCACTGAATATGCTGAGTAGTTACATAGTTAGTCTGGCTGAAAAAAGACAAAAGTCCATCCAGTTAAAAAAAAAAAATTATAATCCTATACCCACAGTTGATCCAGAGGAAGGCAAAAAAAAATACCTTTCTGATCCCCCGAGAGGCAATCGGATATTCCCTGGATCAACTTTAAGAAAGAATCCAGGCCTTTTTTAAAGCAATCCACTGAGCTGGCCAGAACCAACTCTTGAGGGAGTCTATTCCACATTTTCACAGCTCTTACTGTGAAGAAACCTTTCCGTGTTTGGAGATTAAATTTCTTTTCCTCCAGACACAAAGAGTGCCCCCTTGTCCTCGGTGATGACCTCAGGGTGAATAGCTCTACACCAAATTCACCATATGAACCAATGATGTATATATATATATACATGTTGATCATATCCCCCCTTAATCTCCTCTTCTCAAGAGAGAATAAATTCAGTTCCTCTAATCTTTCCTCATAGCTGATCTCCTCCATGCCTCTCATCAGTTTGGTTGCCCTTCTCTGTACTTTCTCCAGTTCCCCAATTTTCTTTTTGTGAATTGGTGCCCAAAACTGAACTGCATATTCCGAATGAGGTCTTACTAATGATTTGTACAGGGTAATGTGATATCTCTCTCTCTGGAGTCTATACCTCTTTTAATACAAGGATTTTGCTCGCTTTAGAAACCGCACAGTACATTAATGAAAAAGATCCAAAATAGAACTCAGAGTGTAAAATAAAAATACATTTGGTAAAGACAGGTGTAGATGGTAGCTCTATACTGTACTTTGCTCCATTTGGAAACTTATAATTGATATTTTTTAACCTACAGCTACCTAATTGAAAAAGGTGTTTGCTATCTTGTACTGTGTGAAATGTCATTTCCGAAGAAGCTGGCATTTGCTTATTTAGAAGATTTGTACAATGAATTTGATGAGCAGCATGGGAAGAAGGTACCAACTGTATCCAGGCCTTACTCCTTTATAGAGTTTGGTGAGTTATTAAAAAAAAAAATGACCTGCTAAAATTGAATATAATAACCAGATGTGAAGAAATGTCCTTGGTAAGCAAAAATGTAAAAACTGTAAATCTAGATAAGCATATAATGTAACAGAACTTGAAAATGTATTTTTCATGTATGCAGTGTGTATATTCTCATTAAAAATATTCTAAAAAGAAAATGTGAACTACACAAGGAAAAATGGTTCAAATAAGTGACTTGGTACTTTATTTTATTTTTTTTACTAAAAAAAATTGCATACCAATTAGCCCAGTGAAATAGCATGTACATTCAGTCTGTGTGAATGGGGGAAACATGAATGTTATTAAGCTATTTTCCTACACTGCTCAAATATTTTTGATTGATTTGGCCACTAGATAGATGGTGCTGCATCATAGGATATTCCTGTGATATGTCATGCCATCTAGTGGCCACATGTGGTATTTTACCGTTTTAAATCATTAAAAAATATTCAACCAGCATAGGTAATATTATAGGTCACTGCTTGAAATTTCCACTCGCCTGCTCACCAATGGCGAGTGGAAATTATGGTGGGGGCGAGTGTGTCCCCCAGGGCAGTCTTGCTGAGCAGGCTCGGAGCTCAGGCCGGATCTGTCATTGGCACTGTGAGCCGTCAGGCTGCTCTATAGCTGAGCGCAGTGAAAGCAAAGCAAGGAGTGTGTGCTGTGCTCTCTGCCTCCCCCTAGAGTGCAGTCCCGGATCTGTGAGTGAACAACGTAGTACAGCAACTTTTTCTGGGGGGGGGGGGGGGGGGGTACACGTGTGTTTGTGTATGCATGTACAATTGTACATGTGTCTGCGTGTATCTACATGTGTCTGTGTACATGTTTGTCTGTGTGTGTGTGTACGTGCATGTGTCTGTGCGTGTGTATTTCTGTGTATGTACATGTATCTGTGTGTATGCATGTCTGTACGTGTGTGTGTGTGTGTGTGTGTGTGTGTGTACATGTGTCTCTGTGCGTGTGTGTGTGTACAGGTGTCTCTGTTTGTGTGTTTGTTGGTGGCGAGTAACTCTAAGGCCTGGCTATTAGCTCAGGACTTGAAATTTTAAGCCCTGATATAGGTAATGTATGTTCTGCATTATCATTCTACTTGTGCTGCCAAGTGCACGTCTGTGAAATCGGCACTTGGCTGTCAGTGATAAGCTATGGTTTGCAGAGGATCCCAAGCAGATCAATGAGCAGTTAAACATCATGAGCAATTGCAGACGGTCCAATTTTTGATAAGAAACATTCTGTGCATAATGCAACTGGTGTGGGAGCCAAGTATTAAACTAATATATATACCTCCAGAGTTCTCAACACTTGCATCCAATCCAGTCACTGTGTGGAAATATTTTGGAAAGGTTAATTGTTCCAGAATTACTCTACAGCTTTATAAAACAGACAATATAAACTATTGAAATATTCCATCCTATCTGATCTCTTTAATCTTTGATTTTATATCTGCTAAATACATCAGACTGACTGAATTGGTAGGACAAATGATTCAATCTAGCAACATTCAGTTAGAATATCTTAATGAATGTTTCATCAAATCATGGGGTTAATACATGCATGGCCAAGCTTACACTGGCTATACACTGTTACTGTTAGGTTTTTTTTTTTTTTTAGCCCGCTAGCTGAAAAAAACCCCAAAAACAAACTGATTCCTCCATTCACATAAACAAGGGGGGTGGAAGATTCCAACCTCTCCCCCACAGGGACTCATTGGCTGCAGCCTGTTTGATGAAAACATATCCAACATGTCCCTTCGACTGAAATCAAATAAACAGTTAACTTCTGGTGGAGCCACACACTGATCAAAATTCAGTCGGCAGCAGTCAATCAGTGTATGGCCAGTATAACACTACTTTAGTATCCAAACTAAATAATTACAGGATTTCCATTTTATTTAGCTGAAAACAAAACTGTTCTGCTAAATAATTGTGTTGTGTTTTTGTAGATAATTACATTCAGAAGACAAAAAAGTCCTATATTGATAGTCGAGCAAGAAGAAACCTGGGCTCCATTAACACCGAGTTACAAGATGTGCAGAGAATCATGGTGGCAAACATTGAAGAAGTCTTATTACGTGGAGAAGCACTCTCAGGTATGTGTATGTGAAACATTAGAAACAATGTTGGGTGGTTTTGACTTTGATATCCAAGTATAAGTACACTACATATGCCATTTCTACAGAAACACTGTGAAGTATTGTTTGTTGAGGGGAAAAAGTCAGCTGCACATGGCTAGTAACAATTTTTTCTTTGTTCTGAAAATATTATTTTGAATTTCACCATGGCCTTTTCTCAAATGTACTACTATGTGGGGAGAGTCAGTGTGAAAAACCATCAGATCAGTCTCGGTGATAAGATTGAAAATTAAGGGGTCCTTTAAAGTGCTAACACCCCAAAATGAATAGGTGTGAATAAGTTCTTGGTGCTGCAGATTGAAGTTTAACCACTTCCCTACTGCACTATAGCCGAATGTAAGGACATTATTCCACTGCACAGCTTGGTGTCATCTGCAAAGACTGAAATGGGATTTTTAATCTCAGACCCAATTTAGTTTATAAATATATTAAAATGTAAGGGTCCCAACACTGAACCTTGGGGTACACCAATGATGACCCTAGACCATTCAGAGTATGAATCATTAACCACTACTCTCTGAATATGATTTTTTAGCCAGTTCTCTACCTATTTACATACAGATTTTTCCAAGCCTGTAGACTTTACATTACACGTTAGCCATGTGTGGGGAACTTTAACAAACGCTTTTGCAAAATCCAAGTATACCACGTCCACCACCACCCCTCTGTCGAAGGTTTTGCTTACCTCCTCAAAAAGAAACCAGATTTGTTTGACAACTTGTGTCTTTCATGAATCCATGCTGTCTGTTGCTTAAAATATTTTTTTCCAGCAAGAACTCATCTATGTGGCCTTTTATTAAACTCTCCAGTATCTTCCTAACTATAGAAGATAAACTAACAGGTTTATAATTACTTGGTAAAGATTTTGACCCCTTTTTAAATATAGGCACCACATTGGCCTTACGCCAATCCAGTGGTACTATGCCAGTCATTAAAGAGTCCCTAAAAAATTAGAAACAATGGCTTTGAAATGACAGAGCTCAATTCTTTAAGGACCCGTGGGTATATGCCATCCAGTCCAGGTGCTTTATTCACCTTTATTCTGTCTAAATATTTTTTGGATCTTATCAATTGTGAGCCAATGTGGATCATCTGGAGCTGTGTCAATAACATGCCGATTATGGACAAGAGCTCCCCCATGGTCCTTTGTATACACAGAGCTGAAAAAGGTATTTAATAAATTTGCCTTCTCTTTATCCCCAGTTACCCATTCTAGATTATTTTGAAAAGGGCCTACTTGCTCGGACCGAACCTTTTTTTAATATTAATATATTTGAAGAAGTTTTGGGGGTTTGCCCTGCTATATTTTGCAATCTCGTTCGTTTTCAATCTTTGCGGCCTTCATTTCCTTTTTGCATATTCTGTTATAATGTATAATGTTATAATTCTGTTTGTAATGTTTAAACGATGACACTGTTCCTTCATTTTTATATTTAAGAAAAGCTCTTTTCTTATTATCTATAGCTCTTTTAACTTTGGCCATAAGCCACATAGGTTTGATTTATTTTTTTTTAGACTTTTAAACTTGTTGCCCATGGGAATATATTTTGCAGTGTGTTCACATACAGTCTTTTTGAAGAACTCCCATTTCTGTGTGAAAATGAAATCATGTTATGGTCACTGCTACCCAGATGTTCTTTTAGACATTCCTAATAAGCTCTACATGGTTTGAGATTACCAGGTCCAGCAGAGCATCAGTCCTAGTTGGGGCCTCTATGAACTGTACCACCATAAAATTCTCTCTATCCGCTTGGTGACGGGTCACAGAGCGGGTGTCCTGTAGTAGGTTTAACATTTTTTGCCCTTTTTAATTGTTCCTACAGTGCCATTACTCCAGTCAATTTCCAGGTAGTTAAAATCCCCCATTATTATCACTGTCCCAGCCCCTTTGATTTATGCAAGGAGCTGAGTGTCCACCTCCTCATTAACACTGGGATGCCTATAACAAACTCCAATGATTACCTTTGTAGTACACACCCCCATGTGCAGTTCCATCTATAATACTTCAACCTTATCAATACTCGCCATCAACTAGGTCCTCTTTCACACTCGCTCTGAGATCACTTCTCACATAGAGACAGACACCACCACCTTTCCTATTTACTCTGTCTCTCCAAAAGAGAATATAGCCAGGAATATTAATGGCCCAGTCATGTGAAAAATGAAGCCAAGATTCATCTATACCAATTAAATCCTAGTTCTCTTCATGCACCAATGCTTCCAACTCACCTGTTTTGCTTGGCAGACTTCTGGCATTGGTGAACAAACACTTTAATTCATTGACATCTTAAACACACGTGTTTTGCATATTTTTTATTTTCACTCAAATGGTACCAATTCCACTGGTTACTTGTAACATGGGAACCTTCTTATCATGTGCCATAGCCCTCCCCCCATCTTTTCCCCATTCCACCCACCAATAAATACTGACCCCCCCCCCCGATGCTATTTTAAATACTCCTCCAGCCTTCCCATAAACCTCTCCCCCAGCACAGCAGACCCCCTTCCATTTAGGTCCAAAGCATATAGGTTGCACCCCAATGAAAAGTCAGCCCAGTGCTTTAGAAACCCAAACCCTTCCCTCTTACACCCGGTCTTCAGCCATGCATTGAGTACTCTGATCTCCTCCTGTCTGTCCTGAGTTGCGCATGGAACAGGTAATATTTTGGCGAATATCACCTTGGAGGTCCTTCCCTTCAACTTGCAGCCTAGTTCTTTAAATTCTGTGTTCTGTGAATGAGAACACTACAAAAATCTGACAGCCTTTGAGGCTGTCGGCTTGTAGTCAGGGAACTACCACAGTATTGTAGAGCGCTGTGGTAGTTCGAGTCTTCCTGTCAGTAAGTATCTCCTTGCACGTATGGGATGTATGAGCAAGCCGATACAATGACAGGGTCAGAGGGAGACCTGCATGGCACCAGCGATTTACTGGTGCTATGCTTTAGAAGCTCCAGAAACAAAAAATAATAAGTGCACATTTTTTTTTTTACCTGCACCTTTTTGGTAAAAGGTGAACTCATCTTTTTAAACAAAAATTAATAAATGTACATTTTTACTTAGATTTTTTTTGTTTTTGTAGGAGTCTGGAAAGCATGCAGTACTCCTACAGACTGCCAGTGTAAGCTGTGTAAGCTATCTGCATCATACGGACAGGCAGTTTCACACACTGACAGGAAGAATCTATGACTGCCAGAGCTCTCAACAGAGCCATGGTAGTTACAGTTGTGACCAAAATTATTCAACCCCCACTGAAATTGAGTGTTTTGGCCAGTTTGACATTGCTTTTGATCATTCAGTCATCTTGCTTACATTTACATTAAAGAGGCACTTGTAGGTCAGACAAATATAACATAACAGTTATAATGAAATAACCACAAATGTCTTTTCTGTGCTCACAGCATTATCAGTTTTTTTCAACCCCCAAGTGACATTCAATCTTAGTACTTAGTACAGCATCCTTTTACAGTTATAACAGCTTTTAAACGTGAAGCATAGCTTGACACAAGTGTCTTGCAGCGATCTACGGGTATCTTCGCCCATTCTTCATGGGCAAAGGCCTCCAGTTCAGTCACATTCTTAGGCACTGCAAATGCAACTGCTTTCTTTAAGTCCCACCAGAGGTTCTCAATCGGATTTAAGTCTGGTGACTGCGATGGCCACTCCAAAATGTTCCAGCCTTTCCTCTGCAACCATGCTCTAGTGGACTTGGAGGTATGCTTGGGATCATTGTCCTGTTGAAAGGTCCAACGTCTCCCAAGCCTCAGCCTCAGGTGTGTGACGGACTGCATCACGTTTCCATCCAATATCTCCTGGTACTGAAGAGAATTCATGGTACCTTGCACACGCTGAAGCTTCCCTGTACCTGCAGAAGCAAAACAGCCCCAAAGCATGATTGACCCTCCACCATGCTTCACAGTAGGCAAGGTGTTCTTTTCATCATAGGCCTTGTTCTTCCTCCTCCAAACATAGCGTTGATCCATGGGCCCAAACAGTTCTAATTTTGTTTCATCAGTCCACAGAACACTATCCCACAACTTTTGTGGTTTGTCCACATGGCTTTTGGCATACTGCAGTCGACTCTTCTTATTCTTTGGAGACAGCAAGGGGGTACGCCTGGGAGTTCTGGCACGGAGGCCTTCATTACGCAGTGTGCGTCTTATTGTCTGGGCTGAAACTTCTGTACCCACATCTGACAAATCTTTTCTCAGTTCTTTCACTCAGCAGTCACACGGGGACTTCTCTCCACTCTACGCTTCAGGTAGCGCACAGCAGTCGAAGTCCACCAATGTAATTGCGCACAGCAGTCAGCCCAGATTCATCTATACCAATTAAATCATCTTCTTTCTGCCACGACCAGGTAGCGTTTCAACAGTGCCCTTTGCCTTGAATTTGCGAATGATGCTTCCTAAGGTGTCTCTTGGTATGTTTAACATCTTTGCAATCTTCTTATAGCCATTGCCCTTCCTGTGAAGAGAAATCACCTCTTCTCTTGTCTTCCTGGACCATTCTCTTGCCTTCACCATGTTTGTAACCACACCAGTAAATGTCTAGAAGGAGCTGAGTATCACAGTCATTTTAAAGCTGCCTAATTGGTGCTTATTATGCTTGATTGCTGCTCGGTGACATCCACAGGTGTTTTCAATACCTGATGGAAAGCACCTGTATGAACCTCTGTTCTTCAGAGTGGTAGTCTTTAAGGGGTTGAATAATTGTGGCAATGAAGAAACCACATAAGAACCATTTACTACTGTATTACATAAACAATTGATGTCATTTTAGTTGCATTTGGGTAGTTACAACGTCCTTGTAGGATTTGATTCTGAATACAATTCCAAATGTACACTATAGTCCCTAAACCCCTTTACAGCATTGGGGGTTGAATAATTTTGGTCACAACTGTAATTGAGAGCTACAAGCCAACAGAACCTTGTGAATGAATGTTGTGGCCGGGCAGGTGGAGCCCCTCACGGCCACTTTTTTTTTCCTTTTTTTTTTTTTTAATTGGAACATCACGTGGGGTATCAGTGTGTGGGGGCGGCTTCTACAGTATCCTGTTATACCCCGAATGTGGTTGTAACGTTTAACCTGTTTCAAAAGGTGAACTTATCCTTTTAATGTTTGATTTACAGTGGGGGACAAGGTACTCATTCAAATAAGGAGAAAAGGATATCTGGGGAGATAGGCCTTATTTTAAAGGGGACTTCCAAATTTCAATAGGTTCTTTCTCCTGCAGACTCTTACATCCACTGGGTTGGGGATGTGAGGATGAAGCTCATCTTAGGGACAAGTAGGGGAATTAACTAAGACTGAGGCAGCCAGCATCCGCAGTAGTTGCGAATGGCAAGCAATTGGCTTCTAGCTTTTTTTTTTTTTCTTTTTTCAAAGCTGTGCATGGGTTCATGAGCACGAATAATGTCTGTTTGGGTTTTAGTGGGTAGCCCAGTAAGGTTGTGGGTTTTGTTTTGTGTTTTTTTGTTTTTTGTTTTTTTTTTTGTTTTTTTTGCTAGACCCTTATCCACTTTAAAATAAGTGGACCCCCAGATATGTCACCTCCCCCTGCATGAATTAGTGAAGGATACATAGTACCCCATTAAAAGACCTAGGCTTCCTCGCTCAACTCTGCTGTGTCCTAAACAGGAAGGAGGACTGGGGATCCCAAACTTCACAAGTACCATTATGCAGTCCAACTATCTTAACTACTTAAATACCACGCCACAAGAGACGTGCCTCTTTGGGTCAGATTGTGATCCGCTAGCATTTGACAGCTTGCTGTGGCATACCCCACAGTAATGTAAGACACTTACAAACCTGAATACTCTCCACTTCCTGACTATAAGGAACAGGTTGAAATGACCTTCTGGCCTGGTTCCTCTTCACATTCCATTGCTTTTTCTTACATCAACTAGCACTTTATCCTGCATATCCCTCCCCTTCCTACTTTCAGCATTGGATTCATTTGAAGTTGATGAGATTGTATCAGATGGTCATCACATCACAATTTAATCCATTTCCAGAGTTACAGGAGTATACCAAACTACCAAACTCTGAGGTGCTCATTACCTTCAGATCAAACTTTTCTATAGTGCATTAGGCTGCCTATTCAGTGCTCTTGATCAGATGACCATGTTCAAGCACCTATGCTTTTCCGATCTCCATGTGATGGGAGTAATGCCTAAGTTGTATCTCCACCTGCTCTCCAAACTGTCAGTCTCTCTCCACTTACATATTTAGGACACTGGACCACTGGTCTAGATTTGACACTGGAGGCAGATGATTGGACAGAGATTTGGCAAGCTACGCATACAGCCTCTCAGAATATCATGGCTCTTGAGACTACCAGTATGATGCTCTCATTTGTTGCTGGCAAATACAGCCAAGTATGTCCCCAACTATCCTCCAACCTGTTTCTGGGGATGCAGGGGGCTCAGGAACATACCTTCAAATTTGGTGGACTTACCCTATAGTTAAATCACTTGGGTCTGATATTTTCCACCTTCTCTCATAGTTCGATATTGAGATTCATCTGGACCCCAAGGTAGTTTTGCTCAATATGTGTGCCTACCAGAGCTAAGCAAGATGCAATTCCCTCTATTGTTTCAAATCACCACATCCTCTAAGCAAACAGCCAGAAGACACACTTGCTCTGCCTCCTTGATACAGAGAGGTCTCTCCTCTGCTTCCAAGAACCCATGGACCATGTCAAAATACAGACAACCCTATAAGATATAGTACGCAAATACCTGAAAATCTAGCAACTTTGGTTGGGCCATTGTCTCCCCCTGATTTTTGGCACCTCATTGCTTGAGACTTGACATTTTTAGGCAGATATTAGTAATTCCAAATAGGTCAAGAACCGTGGCTTACACGACCCTGGGTAGCCAATCAGCTTTTAAGTTCATCTTGTTCAATTAAGCCTCGACATTAAAACCTGGAGGCTGATTGTTTTCTGTTTAGAGCTGCACCAGATTTTGCACTCTCCAGTTTTAGTAACTCTCCCCCACAGTGTAATCCACCACTTTGCATTTATATTTTCTATATCATTCTTTGTTGAACATTTCAGCCTCCTTTATGTTAACTCTTCGGTTTCAGGTTTACACGTATTACGTTTTTTTTTTTTTTCAATTTCTAATTCTAATAGATATAAATGTATTTTGTTTGGTTTTTTTTTTGTTTTTTGTTTTTTTTTGTTCTGGTCTGTCTGTATATTTCCTCACTATAGTCGATGTCTGTTTATCTATTGTCTCTTCTATTTTGCAGCACTGGATTCAAAGGCCAGCAACTTGTCAAGTTTGTCCAAAAAATACCGCCAAGATGCAAAATACCTGAACATGCGATCCACCTATGCCAAGTTGGCAGCTGTTGTAGTGTTTGCCGTAATGCTTATTCTGTATGTCCGGTTTTGGTGGCTTTGAAATATAATACAGATCAAAGAAGGCTGTAGAGGTTAAACGCTGGAATATTGGCTGAGGTCTTGGACAGTTAATTGTTGCCATCATCTTTGTCTTTTAACTGATAAAGCAGAATAATAGTAGTGTGGAGTCTTCAGGATCATCCGGTTTTGGATTGTAACATCTGAAAGGACTGGCTCAGAGATGGAATTATTATTTTCTGAATTAGAAGACCAGAAACATCTGGAATTTAAAACGTTAGCAGTTCTTGTTTTTGAAATGTCAAATCTACTCACATTTGAGAATTCTTTCTATTACAGTTCACTTTAAAATACTTGATCGTTTATTTAACAGCACAATCCTTTGCATGCTTAACAGTTATCTGTTTCCTGCTAGAAAGCAATATGGTAATACTTGCCAGGAATAGTGTACTAGGTTGTCAAGAAGGAAAATAAATCCTGGCTTCTCAGAACAAGCCTAAAGCTGATAGATACATTTCATATAGCATGGCTTTTTCATGAGGAAGATGGTAGGTTGTGTTTATAACAGTCTGTCTGCCTTATTTATTATAGTGTCCTTAAAGTATATGTGAACTCTTACCTTGGAAAAAAAAACCCATTCAGTTTAAAATAGAGGCAAAACGTGTGTGTGTGTGTGTGTGTGGGTGTGTGTGTGTGGTGTGTGTGTGTACAGTATCTCATTATAGATACATTTTGCACTGGAGAATTGCACGTAAGCTGGCCATACAACTAGGTAGATTTACAGTTGAACATCTGTGAGAATTCTCCTCAGTACATTCAATGACTTGATGAATGATGTTTGAAAGTATTTCAGAATTTGAGGTTGTGGTTTTTTATATTCAATTTTGAAATGAATGTAATTTCCTGAATGAAAACTACATTCACTGTTGAAATTTGTTCAAGCAAAACTTTTTGTCCTGCACCTTTGAATTTTCTCATCACTGTGGTTGAAAACAAACAATTTGACCCCACTAACAGTTTGAAAATTGACTGAACTTTCCTGAAGATGTGTTTCTTTTGCATTATTATTATTTAAGAATTTTGTTAAATAAAAATTTGCTTTGGGGGGGGGGGGGGCAATTGTATTAGGTGAAGAGTTGACCATGGCTGTTTTTGTTCAGTGTGTAATCTAGCCTCCCTATTGGTGCTGTCACACTTTGTAGCCATTAAGAAGGCAAGGAAAGACCTAGTTGATTGTTCTCCAAATAAAGCATGCATTTTATTAAGAGAAGTATGGGTTAACAAAAAATACCTAGGTATATGCCGCATAGATCTCCGCTGCATCTGTCCTCTGCCACATCTAAGACTGAGAACTGAGCGATCAAAGACTGCTGATCACTGAGTTCTCACTGAGCCTGCAGAGAGCTAGTGACTGTCAGTAATTGGCTCTTTGCTCTGCCCCTACAGTACTCATACTTCTACTTTAAGTAGGCCAGGTATTTCACAGCACAACTAAATGTGTGTAGACACCATTCTACAAGTAAGTGGTTTCTTTCTCTGATTGCAATCAAAGGTTTGCTTTACAGATGCTTGGATAAATAAGGCTGACTAGTGTGTATATTGTATATTTATCACTTCTTACTGTAATTTTTAAGACCAACCAAAAAAGTAAATCTGTTTAAAATAAATGTACACAGGCATAATCAAACCTTTCATTTCTCAGCGACTGTTTGGATCTTTACTAAAAAGTTTAATTGGGAGAAAAATACTGGAGGATATGTTTGGAAGATATAAGTTGTTTTTAATGTAATTTAATAAATAAAGTTTAATTAATTTTAGTCCTAGTATTCCAAATTGTAGGGAGCTTCTATGTACATGTATGCATATATTTTTCCTGGGTCCTCCCAAGGCGACCATAATTAAAAGATGACCCCCACCATCTGCTTGTGCAGGAGTGAAACAAAACTAATATATCAAGACTAAAACAATACCTTTTCCCATCATGGGGCTCTATTTAAATTCTCTATCAGGTACAAAGGAGGCTCCTAGTGCAGACCTCAAGGGTCTAGCTGGTGGATAGGGATTCAAGGTTGCTTTGTTGCCCTGCAAGGGGCAATTATGGTTTCCTCATTAGAGAAAAACAAGGAGATATGTGCGTGTGTTCCTTGCTTCCTCCACTGCTTAAATTTTGAAGCTCAAACATACCCAGTAAGTGATTGTAGAGTTAGGCTGTGCTGGTTTGCATCTGCCTTGGGCTATGATTACTATTCAGATATTCAGCATCTGATTTTGGAGACTTGGATGCAATATTTATTTTAAAGAGACTCATAATTTGGAAATATGTACATCTAAATGTATAATATATTGCAGCTTACCAGATGTGGTGGCTGCATCAGTTTTCTGCTTTTTTTCCTTTCTCCGTCTTTCAGGACAGCACCTCGAGAGACCTCGGCTCCTCCCCACCTAAGGAAACACCTCCACCCATCACAAAATGCCTGCCTCTCCCCTCACGACCTCAGTTTCGGTGTTTCCTCTGGTGGGGAGACACGCTATGGAGGCCAGTCCAGATGCGGTCAGATGACCGGTAGGGCCTGGTAGGAGAGAGAGAGTTTAGCTATGGAGGTGTGTGGGCCAGAGAGACTGGTGGCTACCCTCCATGGTTTTCAGTGACAGGCGGGCCCCCTCCGTAGAAGATGGGGGGGGTCTTCGCTTACCTTTCAGGCTTCGTCCCAGCCCCCACCGAGGGAGGGCTGGGGAGCCGGGCGCCCTCGTGTCCTGTGTCCAGAGGGACTAGGGGAGGAGTCATGCTGTGCCGGCATTGGGGCCGGGCCGGATGACGGGCAACGTCACTTCCGGCAGAAGCGCGGCGGGACGCGGCCTAGGAAACGAGGGGGAGCACCTACGGCGGTGTGAGTGCTGCATCTTGCAGAGGCAGGCGACAGAGCACTCGGGTGACCATCTTCCTGAGGATGTCCGGAGCAGAGGCATCGGGATCAGGCGAGGCCAGCACCAGCCAGCTACAGGTAGGGTGGCTCAGAGGAGCCCTTTACCTAGCTCCAAGGGGTGTTCCCAGCCCTCTGGTGGTCGGAGGTGCCAGGACAGGAGGGGGGGGAGGGAGAGCCCAGGTTTGTAATCTCCCACTCCCTGCCAGGGAAAGAAAGGGGGGGGGGGTCAGAGAGGGGGCGGTCAAGGCATTCCTTAAGATAATGGGTCCCCTGGGTCTCCTCTTCTCTTTACGCTACAGGTAAAAGCCTGTGAGAAGCCCAAGACACACCAGGAGTCTAGGAGGAAGTGCCCTTCATGCAAAGTGACCCTCAAAGACTCTTCGAAAAAGGTGCTATGTGGGTCCTGTATCGAAGGGCTGGTTAGGGAGGAGATTCCTTCGCAGGGGGACCTGGTTAAGTGGTTAGAGAGCTGACGAGTACCTTCGATTCCTTCAAGTCTCTGGTTGAGAACCTAGTCTTGCCTCAGACGCGTACCGCACCCCCCCCCAACAGACTGAGGTGGTCCCTTCTACTAGTAGAGGGATGGGAGGCCAGGGGTTTGAGGCAACGGAGGGCGACCCATCCCTGGGCTCGAATTCAAAGGAGGATTCAGATGGGGAGGGCCCCTCAGACGAACCTAGAGGCCCCTGTAGTTACAAATTGTCCGTGGAGGAGGTTAATGACTTGCTAGGAGCAATTTACGCCACCTTGGACATTAGGGATAAGAAGCCCCTGACGTTACATGACCAAATGTATGAGGGCATGGAGGAGCAAAAACATAGGGTTTTTCCCGTCCATGAGGTGTTTGTGGACACTATTAAAAGGGAATGGCAGGACCCTTTCTTTGCCAAAACCCTCAGACGCAGGTTCCCATTTGATGAGGACCCTTCTTCGTTATGGAATAAGAGCCCCAAGTTGGATGCTGCTTTTTCTCAAGTAGCCAGGAGGATGGACTTGGCCTTTGAGGATATGGGGGTTCTGTCAGACACTATGGACAGGAGGGCGGATTCCCTCCTTAAGAAGTCCTGGGACTCCACACTGTCCAACTTTAAACCTGCCATGGTCACTATGGTAGTGGCCAAGAACATGGAGTATTGGCTTATGCAACTGCAGGCACATATCATGGCTGAATCCCCAAAAGAGAAGATTCTAGTCTCCTTTCAGACTTTACTGCAGGGAGTGAGCTACATAGCGGATGCTTCTGCAGAGTCGGTTAGAATGACGGCTAATTCGGCCCATAGAGCCCTCTGGCTCAAAACGTGGCAAAGAGACATTGCCTCCAAGGTCAAACTTTGCGGCATCCCATTCACAGGGGATTTCCTTTTTGGCCTAGGTCTAGAGATGGTACTTGATCGCACAGCAGACAGGAAAAAAGCATTTCCTCTTAAAAGGAATCTGCAGGGGCAGGGGGCGAAAAAGTTTCATCCCCAAAAGAAAATTCAGGCCCTTAGGCCAGAAACACAGAAAAAGCCCTGGGGGCAGAGAGGAGGAAGGGGCAAAGGAGGAGCAATTTTCTGTCGTCCTGAGCAGCCCCAGAAGTTGCAATGACTTTGTTCCCCCAGTGGGAGGAAGGTTGGGGGTCTTCCTCCCACAATGGAAAGCAGAGATCTCCAGCCACTTCGTCCTGGATATAGTGAGTAGGGAGTACCGCCTGGAGTTTTCAAGGCCACCGCCACAGAGGTTGTTGGTGACGAACCTGCCAAGGTGCGCACAAAAAGCGGTGGCCTTACTCGCTTCTCTACAGGAGTTAGAGGAGCAGAACGTGGTCAGAGCCCCTGCTGCGGAGGTTGGCAAGGGTTTTTACTTGCACGTATTCGTCATCCGAAAGTCCTTGGGATCTTACAGGCTGATTCTAAACCTGAAGCCTTTGAACGAGGCCATCAGGTTCAAGAGCTTCCGGATGGACTCTATCTTTACAGTCAGATCTCTTCTCCCCCCCCCCCTACTCTTTTTTTAGCCTCGATAGACCTAAGGGACGCCTATTTGCACGTTCCCACTGCGGAGACCTGTCAAAAATTTCTTAGATTAGCAGTTCAGGGTCTGGGGCGGACACATCACCTGCAATTCCTGCCCTTTGGAC